CAAAATAAGAATATGATGATGTTTAATTATCTGCAGAGTGTTTTTTTTTTTAACTCATAGAGCTACATTATATATGTATACACACACACACACACACACACACACACATTTTTTGAGACAGAGTCTCGCTTTGTCGCCCAGTCTGGAGTGCAGTGACGTGATCTCGGCTCACTGCAACCTCTGCCTCCCAGGTTCAAGCAATTCTCTTGCCTCAGCCTCCTGAGTAGCTGGGATTACAGGCATGTGCCACCACATTCAGCTAATTTTTTTTCTGTTACTGTTTTTTGTCCAATGAACTTTCAAGTTGTACCAGTCCAATAATTTTTGTTTTTTTAGTAGAGACGGGGTTTCACCGTGTTGGTCAGGCTGGTCTCGATCTTCTGATCTTGGGACCCATCTGCCTCGGCCTCTTAAAGTGCAGGGATTACAGGCGTGAGCCACCACGCCCAGCCTAACTACATTCTATTTTTATCTGACCACTCTTTTGTTGTTGCACACTGAGATTCTAGATTTTTTGCTTTTGCTGTTAAATTAGGGTCATTAATTCTCTTTTGAAAATTGAGGTCTAATTTTTAGGCAATGAAGTGCACAGATCTTAAGAGTATAGCTCAGTGAACTTTTACATGTGTATTCACTGGTATGATTTTTTTCTTTATTATTTTGAACAAATGAAAGCCTCTAAGACTAGAAGAATTCTACTTCAGTGACATTTAATTCTTATTGCAAAGTCCTTGGGAGGAAGTGTTTCAAAAGATTTGTGAAATGCTGTTTTTTAGTTTATAACTTCTATGTTTGCATTTACCTCAGAAAGTCTTATAATATTCCTTTTTTTTTTTTTTTTTTGAGACAATCTCACTCTATTGCTCAGGCTGGAATGCAGTGGTGTGATCTCAGCTCACTGCAGCCTCTGCTTCTGGGTTCAAGCAGTTCTCATGCCTCAGCCTCCCAGATAGCTGGGACTACAGGCAGACTCTACCACACCCGGCTAATTTTTGAATTTTTAGTAAAGATGGGGTTTCACCATGTTGGCCAGGCTGGTCTCGAACTCTTGACTTCAGGTGATCCACCTACCTTGGCCACCCAAAGTGCTGGGATTACAGGTGTGAGCCACTGTACTCAGCCAGGAAGTCTTTTAATTTTTTTTTTTTAAGACAGAGTTTTGCTCTTGTTTCCCAGGCTGGAGTACAGTGGTATGATCTTGGCTCACTGCAACCTCTGCCTTCTGGGTTCAAGTGATTCTCCTGCCTCACCCTCCTGAGTAGCTGGGATTACAGGCATGTGCCACCATGCCCAGTTAATTTTATATTTTTAGTAGAGACTGGGTTTCTCTATGTTGGTCAGGCTGGTCTCAAACTCCTGACCTCAGGTGATCTGCCCGCCTCAGCCTCCCAAAGTGCTGGGATTACAGGCGTGAGCCACTGCACCTGGACCGTCTTTTAATTTTAAATGAAGCTTAAGTGTAAATTGAAAGGAAAAGGTATGTTCTGGTAGATATAAAGAAGCAATAGTTAAGAAAAAGCTACTTTATTTAAGATTTTAAATGGTTAAGGGACAATTTTCTTTAATCTTATAATAATTATGTATAATTTAAAATTTTAATGGCTCACAATTCTTGGGCTTTGTGCCTTTCATAAAGAATCTTAGGTCTGTGAGCAAACCTTAACAATAAACTGTTAGGTTATTGTTACCTGTATTCTGAATTTTTCATTAGATATGGTGTTATACCATTGGAATATCATGTTGTCAGAATTCTAGTGAAAAAATAAAGAATAAGATGAAAAGTGTTTAAAGCAGGAGCAATACATAAGATTTTTACTTTCACTAAGAGTTTCATAAGATTTGTAAATTAAATGTGAATTTTTTTCTATTTCACCATATTTAAGTGTTATCAATACATTCAACAATTATACCATAATTACCTTATGATAAGTTTTAAAGGAACACATTACCTATTTTAAAACAAATTTCTTTTAAAAAATATATATTGTTAGTGTAAATTAAATGAAGCTGTTTCTTAATTGTTTTTATAGAATGGTAGAAGAATATCATGATTTATACACATTACAAAGAGAAAGGATGGAGAATGATATGAAACAGTTAATGGCAGAAAGAGATATCTGGAGCTCAGCTACATATGAATTGGCCCTAAAGGTTGGTTCTTCTGGATTTACAACTCAAACTTCTTTTTTTGGCTAAAGATTCATTCTACAGTTTTAAAATTTGTTTTGTTTTTTTGAAAGAGTCTTTCAACTCACTCTGTTGCCTACGATGGAGTGCAGTGGTGCGATCTTTGCTCACTGCAACCTCTGGCTCTTGGGTTCAAGCAGTTCTCCTGCCTCAGCTTCCTGTGTAGCTGGGATTATAGGCATGAGCCACCATGCCGGGCCCATTTTGCAATTTTTAATAATCTAGACAAAAACTTAAAAAAAAATGAGGATGTATATTTATTGATGTATAATGTAGCTTTTGTGGGCCTTGAAAAGGAAAAGTTAAATTTGTTCTTTTTATTCTTGTCTGTGCTGGGTGCCTAGCTATTACACAATTAAGGGGTCTTTTTTTTTTTTTTTTTAAACCAGAATCTATGAACTATGAACAAGTGTTCTTTTTCTGTAGTTTGGGAACATATTAAAATTTTCAACTTTAATTTATACTAATAATAAAGTAGGAAAGGTGGTTTTTATCTTTTCACATAATGTGACCATATTTGGATCACTGGATATCACACACTGATTGTTTTTTAAAAAAACAAAACAAACAAAAAACAGCGTTTCACATTGTTGCCCAGGCTGGAGTGCAGTGGTGCAGTCACAGCTCACTACAGCCTCGACCTCCTGGGCTCAAGCAATTCTTCCACCTCGGCCTCCTGAGTAGCTGGGACTACAGGTATGTACCACCATGCCTGGCTAATTTTTTATTTTTTGCAGAGATGGGATTTCTCTATGTTGCCCAGGCTAGTCTTGAACTCTTAGGCTTAAATTGTCCTCCTGCCTCAACCTCTCAAAGTGCTGGGATTACATGGACAAGCCACTGTGCCTGACCCACTCTCTGATTCTGTTACCTTGGTACACAAGATGACAAGTGAATTGAAATACAGAATCCTGTGGACCATTATAGTAATACTTTAGGGAAATAGCAAAGTCACACAATATTCTATATATCTAAAATGTTTACTTGTTGGTTGCCTGTTTTGACAACTGGGACTTTTAGGTATGGTGATTTTTGACCCTCACAAGATTAAAAAATTGGTTCAGTTGAATTGATTCACTGGTACACTGGTGGCAGGTCACAGGGTTCTCCATGGAGGTGTACTGCATAAATACATCTGTGTTAGAGCTCTGTATTAACCCTGCCATGTATAGTAGTTTGTCAGTTATTTGGAAGAAAATACAGTATAGAAGACATCCTTGTCAAGTGTCCTAAAGCTAGAGAGAAAGTTAATACACTGGATGGTGGAATGAAGACTTGCTTATTTAGGAAAGTTCATTTACTTTGCAGAGGTAATTATTAGAAATCTAGAGCATTCATTAATGGGGACATGCTAGAGGCATTTCCATTCAAGAGAGGAGAAAGGATTTCTGCTATCACTGGAGGCCCTAATTCAATAATAACATGCAACTAAAATAAAGAGACATAACTGCTTATAGGAAGCAGCAAAATCTTTTAAATGTTTTTTCCTACTGATTTCTTCAGCAAAAATCCCCAGTACATTGTTGAATAGAAGTGGTAAAAGTGAATATTCCTGTTTTCAGTTTTCTGGGGAAGACATTCTGCTTTCACCATTAAGTGCAATATTTACTGTAGGCTTTTATCCGTACCCTTTATCAGGTTGTGGAAGTTCCCTTCAATTTTTCATTTGTTTAGAGTTTAATCATAAATAGGTGATGTATTAAGTGAATTATTTTTTCTGTGTCAATGGAGATTACTACATCTTGAATTCCTTTTACTTTATTAACACATTACATTGTTTTTAGCGCTGTATTGAAGTACAACTGATATACAGAAAAAAATCCATATGTTTAATATATTCAGTTTGACATTGAACATTTACATACACTCATGATATCCTCATGGCAATCAAAGCAATAAACATATCCATATTAACTGTTTTTATTAATTAATTTTAAATTTTATTTTAGATTTGGGGTACATGTGCAGGATTGCTACATGGATATATTGTGTAAATCATAAGGTTTGGGCTTCCAGTGAACCCATCACCCAAATAGTGAACATTGTATTCAGTAGGTAAATTCTCAACTGTTGGTCCTTTCCTACCCTCCCCACATTTGGAGTCACCACAGTCTATTATTTTCATCCTTGTGTCCATGTATATCCATTGTTTAGTTCCCACTTACAAGTGAGAACATGCAAGATTTGATTTTCTGTTTCTGAGTTTTTTTCACTTAGGATAATGGCCTCCAGCTCCATCCATGTTGCTGCAAAGCACATAGTTTCATTCTTTTTTATGGCTGCATAATATTCCACATTTTCTTTATCCAGTTAATCATTGATGGGCACTTCAATTGATTCCGTGACTTTGCTGTTGTAAATAGTGCTGTAATAAACATATGAGTGCAGGTGTCATTTTTGATTAAATGATTTCTTTTCCTTTGGGTATATAACCAGTAGTGGTATTGATGGGTCAAATGGTAGTTCCATTTTTAGTTCTTTGAGAAATCTCCATACTGTTTTCCATAGGGTTGAACTAATTTACATTCCCACCAACAGTACGTAAGTGTTCCCTTTTTTCTGCATCCTCATCAACATCTATTATTTTTTTTACTTTTTGATAACAGCTATTCTGACTTGTGTGAGATGGTATCTCATTATTGTCAAAATCACTATTATATAGGTATACACTTGTTGTGGTGGTTTGCTGCATCCATTGCCCTGTCATCTACCTTAGGTACTTCTCTTAATTTTTTAAAACAAACTTTGAGAATGTGTTACATGTCAGACATTATACCATGTACTGGTTGGTAAAGCAAAAACAATTGAGACAAAGTTCCTGCCCATAAAACTTTATGAGATTCAAATATCTCAGCAATTGAGAATGATGGGCCTTTCCAGACAAGTGAAGTGTTAGTAGGGATAAATGTATAGATTAATCTTATTAACATAATTAACATTAATAATTACCATGATTAATATTATTGTAAAAAAGAAGCAGCTATTATTTATTCAGTTATTGCAATGTATCAGATATTTTGCTAAGGGAATAATTAGCATAGTTCTTACAGTAATCCCATGAAATAGTACTATCATTACCTACATTTTTTATGTGAGGACTCAGAGAAGTAATTTGCCTAAGCTCACATAGCTAATAAATGATGAACCTAGCAAGTATGATTCCAGAGCCTGAACTGCCAGTTACCATTCTATACCATCTTCAGAGACAAAAGATAAAACTTAGGGCAGCCACCTAAAGGAGGAGATCCATCATAAGAGCATACCATGTACAAAAAAGATTTGTGACTTTGAAATAACTGTGGATTCACATGAAATGGTTCTTAATGCTGGACTTCTATAGATTAGTGGTAAAGAGAATAGAAGAAGATCATTGTCTGATTTTCCTCTGTAATGTCAGACCTCATCTAGGATACAGTGTTCCATTCTGATGCGGAATTTTTAATGGCACATTGACATATTGATAGGAAACAATCATGACAGTTAATACATGATGTAAGAAACAGATCTGAGCTAGATATGTTCAGTGGAGAAAACAGAAGACAAGTGAGATTCCTCTCACTAGATGTATTTCAACAGCAGAGCGCTGACCCCCGATAGAGGTTTCTGTAGAATTCCTCGCATTGATGAGCTTTGTGCTAAATCATCCCTAGAGTCCCTTCTAACTGAAATGACAGCCAGAATGTCAGTTCCCTGAAAATAAGGACTTTATCTCCTTCGTTCATGGCTTTGTTAACAGTGTCTAGAACAGTATTTCATTAAATGACTATGCAATTGATTTCTTATGTTAATGGTTCTCAAAGTATAGCTCAGGGACCCCCTGGGGGGCGATCCATGAGACCCTTTCAGGAGCTTCATGAAATCAAAATTAGTTTCATTATAATACTAAAATGTTGTTTGTCTTTTTCATTCTCATTCTCTTATTAAGAGTATGCAGTGGATTTTTCTTTTCTTTTTTAAAAAATTTATTTATTATACTTGAAGTTCTGGGGTACATGTGTAGATCGTGTAGGTTTGTTACATAGGCATACACTTGTCGTGGTGGTTTGCTGCATCCATTGCCCTGTCATCTACTTTAAATATTTCTCTTAATGCTGCCTCTCCCCAATCCCCCTACCCCCTGCTATTTCTCCTCTAGCCTCCGACCCTCCAGGCCCTGGTGTGTGATGTTCCCTTCCCTGTGTCCGTGTGTTCTCATTGTTCAACACCCAAGAGTATGTAGTGGATTTTTCTAGCAACTATATGTCATGGTATATTCTAACAGATTGAATGCAGAGGCATGTAAGAATCCAGCTCTGTTCTCCTAAGGCAAACATTAGATTTGTAAAAATGTAAAACAATACCATTGTTTTTACTAATTTAACAAAAATTTTAAAAATGAAGATGCTATTTATGTTAATAGGTAATGGGTTTATTAATGTTTATTTGTGAATTAACAAATATGTGTTTAAATAATTCTAGTTTAATTTCCAATGCAGTAAATATTAATAGATGCTTTCCATATAAATAAAAGTGCTTGAGAATATAAAGGGGTCATGAGATCAATTTTTTTTGTATAAAGGGGTCTTGAGATCAGATTGTTGGAGAAGTTTTGCTATATACTAAACTTCAGTTTCATTCCAGTTCAGTGGAAAATGTGAATTTGGGATTTGTATTAGATAATGATTTAAACAAGAAATTTTAGTTGTGTTAATAATTCAATGAAAATTGATATATGAAATCACTGGAATAAATTATAGTGGTTTGCTAATGTTTTAGGTTCCTGATTATAGTACATTATTTTTATAGGTAATTGAAAGAAATAGAGTCATATTGGCTAAAAGACTTTACCTTAATGAAAAAGGCTGGAATAAATACACCAAGCATTTCATCATACAGCTGTCAAACAAGGTAAAGTTCAATTATTCTCAGTTATGAGAAAAAAAGATGTCAAAAGATGTCAAGTGGTGAGCATTGACACTGTAAGATGTCTTTGTTACATTTATTGATTTTAAAAATACAGTTTTATATTAATGCTTATTGTGTGCAGAATGAAAAAATCTAAGGGGAGGTGAATAAAGGCTTTCGTTTCTTTATATTTGTCTTCTAAGTAAAGCAATTTATCTAAGTTTAATAACACTACAAAGTTATTCATACGATTATGACTTGACTGATTCACACATAAAGTAAAAAAGTAAATATCTTTTTTTTGAAATAGTTGCATTACCAATTTTATAGAAATATTCAGTGAGCACACTCATTAGAAAAGGAGAGCATTTATCATGTTTCTACTGAGTCAAACCATTTATACTAGTTATTTCAATTAACTCAAGACAATTTTGTGAGATAGATATTAGGGTCTTTATGGGTAATAAAAATTAAATCCAAATAGATTAGATAACATTGCCCAAAGTAACCCAGACAGCAATGGCTACAATTCATATTTGGTACCGTTTGGCTTCTTGGCTTCTAATCTATCTAGCACACCACACTGCCCCTGTGGAAGTCCTATGGAAAAATTGGGTTCATGCTGCAAAGAAAAAAAAATCTTGTCTCTTAATACTTTATGTACCATGGAAAATTCATCACCAAATGAACTGTATCATACTGTAACTTCAATGTTTAAATCAATTTTCTGTGAATTTCTCTAGCATTACAATATTAATAATGGCCTGGTGTATGTTAACGGCTATTTGTTATGTAAATAAATGAATATGTTATTTGATTCTATGCATTTTATCTAGGACACTGAAGACCTGGCACTGTTGCAGAAGTTGACACAGAAATGGAGAAACTTAGTGAATAAATTTAAACAAGAGGTAGAACAAATGGAAGAGTCTACAATGGGGACTTTGAAAATGGTTAAGGATGGGCTGATCAAATGGCAGGAGTTCTTCAAGTGAGTCACAAGAATCTTGTTATACTTATATCATGTCTGATAACTCAGTCCAATTCTCTCTGTTCCTCCTTCTGTCGTTTACCTTGTAATTACTCTTAACATTGATTTTGGAGAGCAGTCCCTGCAAAGGCACAATCCTGCTAACAATCTTGAATAGTCATGTGGTTTCTAGTGCTGAGTATCTCTGTAGTTCATCCTGATCCCCCTGCTTAACTGCTGCTGTTCCCATTTGAGTCCAGCTCTTTTTCTTGTCTCTCTTTTTAAAATAAAGTCACTTTATGTCATTACTTTGGTAAACTTGAGTATTTGGATCCATCTGCAAATCATATACAGAGAAGTAAAACCAATGTGGTAGTTACAGAGAGATGGTTTTGATTGGACATCATACTTTGCAATGATTAGAGAAATCTGACAATGAAAGAGGCTGCTAAATAAAGTAGTTAAGTTGAGGCCAGATGGCTAAATCATAGCCAAGGTTAGTGAGAACCTATACTTTGGATGCAGTCTGGACTAGATGATTTCTTTTTCTTTTTCTTTTTTTTGAGGCAGGGTCTCATTCTGTTGCCCAAGCTGGAGTGCAGTGGCACAATCTTGGCTCATTGCTGCCTCCGCCTCTTGGGTTCAAGCAATTCTCCTGCCTCAGCCTCCTGAATAGCTGGGATTACAGGTATGCGCCACCACACCCGACCAATTTTTGTATTTTTAGTAGAGATGGTATTTCACCATGTTGATCAGGCTGGTCTTGAACTCCTGGCCTCAAGTGATCCACCCACCTAGTCCTCCCAAAGTGCTGGGATTACAGGTGTGAGACACCATGCCTGGCCTGGACTAGATGATTTCTAAGGTTTTTTTTTTTTTTTTTAAACTTAAAGATGCTTTGTCTGTTGAGGCCTGGACTAGATGATTTCTAAGATTTTTTTTTTTTTTTTTTTTAAACTTTAAGATACTTTGTCTGTTAAGTACCATTTCCATTTCAAATTGAGAATAGTGGTTTCGGTTTTTTCATAACCCTCTAAAAGGTTTCCCCATTAGTAGATTTGGAAGTTCTGGAAGCTGAAGCTGGTACATCTCCCAGCTGGCTGTTCCTGCCCTGTGCCCATTTCTATTGTTTGTTGATTCTTAAGAGGGAGGGGAGCACAGGAGGCCATAGTTCTTGTCTCTTTCACTTCAGGAACTTATTTATCAATAGCTTTCACCTTCTGAGACTTTAGAGCCATTAAAGGAAATTTTTTCCTACCACAAGTTGGGATTCCTAGCTTAAATGTTGAGTCTTAATTACTACATAGGCTTTCTTTCTATTTATGTATTGCGTTGACAGCTGCATTTCAACAGAAATTCTTCTGTTGATGATCTGGTTTTTAATTCCCAAGACTCAAGAGACCACTCTTTAAAAAAAAAAATCTTGTGGCCCATGGCCCTATAACTTGTTTGCTCAGGTCTGATTAAAATCTGAATTTATGTTTACAAATTTAATGATAAATACCTGTGGGGAGAGGGGTTGGACCTGGAAGGTGTGCTTGAAAATTATTGAGGAGAAATATATTAGTTGTTTAGTCTTTAGTGTGTGAACTTATGATTTTATTTGTTTATACCTTGTTCTGAGACCTTTTTCTTTTTTCTTCTTTCAGTGAAAAAGACATTTTATCCCCTGATAAGGGAAATATGTTTGATTCAGTTCTTCTAGACTTCAAGCAATGGCATAAGGTAAGACTTTTTACAAACTTGGCATCCCTGACCTACAACTGAGTCATACATATCTCATCCTTTTTTTTTTGAGACATTGTCTCACTCACTCTGTCACCCAGGCTGGAGTACAGTAGTGTGGTCTCAGCTCATTGCAACCTCCACCTCCTGAGTTCAAGCGATTCTCCTGCCTCAGCCTCCCAGGTAGCTGGGATTACAGGCATGTGCCACTACACCCAGTTAATTTTTGTATTTTTAGTAGAGACAGGATTTTACCATGTTGCCCAGGCTGGTCTGAAGTGATCTGCCCACCTTGGCCTCCCAAATCGTTGGGATTACAGGCATGAGCCACCATGCTTGGTCACATCTCATTGTTTAAAAATGCCATATTAAGTTTTATGAATGACAAAGAAAAGAGAAGTGCTAAGGACTTTAAAAAATATGCTTAAGGGAGGTGGCTTACGCTTGTAATCCCAGCACTTTGGGAGGCTGAGGTGGGTGGATCATGAGGTCAAAAAATATGCTTAAATGTTTTCAGTTTTATTTCAGATTTTTGGGTCAAATTAAGTTAGGCTGCTAGAAAAGAAATCAGGAACTTGTTAGTGGTCTATTCAGAGATTCAGCTTTTTCTGGTTTAGTCTTGGGAGGGTGATGTGTTGAGGAATTTATCCATTTCTTCTGGATTTTCTAGTGTATTTGCATAGAGGTGTTTATAATATTCTCTGATGGTAGTTTGTATTTCTGTGGGATCGGTGATGTCCCCTTTATCATTTCTTATTGTGTCTATTTGATTCTTCTGTCTTTCTTCTTTACTATTCTAGCTAGTGGTCTATTTTGTTAATTTTTTCAAAAAAACAGCTCCTGGATTCATTGATTCACTGCAGCCTGGTGCCTGGTGATGGAGTGAGACTCTTTCTCACACACACACACACATATATATATATATAAGATATATGTCTCATATCATCTCTTTGGAGCATAAAAGTAATAGGATATGCAACTCCAAAATAATTGGGAGTCACTGGGGAATTAGCATCTGGTAGACTTTGATAAAATCATTAGTGGATAACATGCTACTCCCCTTCTTCCTTTCACTCTTTAGATCCTGAATGAGAAAAGAGAAGAGTTTACTGGGGATATTCTACTATCAAAGTACGATACTCTCAAGATTATTAAACATTTACAGGAAAACTGGGCAGATATTGGGCTTGGGATATTTAATCGCCACAAAAGTTTGGAGGGGGAGATGCCATCAGAGCAACAGTATATGGAGGAAATTATCAAAAACACACGAAGTCTCTACAAAGAATATGAAATAAGAATAAATGGGGACAATGGTAAGAAAATACTCATGGTAACTAGATTTCTTAGTATAAAATATTTTAATAATTATTTTCAATATAATTAATATTTAAAATAAAAATAATACATGCATATAGTTTTAAAAACCAAGCAAAATAAGCAAAGCATTGAGCATCACTTAATTGAGATATAATTTATAGACATTACAATTCACCTAAAGTGTATAATTCAGTGATTTTTAGTATATTCACAGATGCGTGCATTCGTTACCACAGTCAATTTTATATTATTTTCATCAAAATAAACCTCAAAAGAAACCCCATACCTTTAGCTTTCACCCTGTTACCCCCAGCATCCTCACCTCAGTCCTAAGTTTGTTTTCTGTCTCTATAGATCTCCCTGTTCTGGACTTTCATATTAATGAATTCATGTACTGTGTGATCTTTTGTGACTGGCTTCTTTCACTTGGTATAGTGTTTTCAATATTCGTCCATGTTTTAGCATTTATCAGTACTTCATCTACTTTTATGGCCTAATAATATTTGATTGTATGTATATATCACATTTTGTTTATCATTTCATCTGTTGGTAGGCATTTGGATTGTTTTCACTTTTTGACCATTATGAATGATGCTGATATGGACATTTATTATACATTTCCTTGTGGAAATATGTTTTCATTTTTCTTGGATATGTACACAGGAGTGAAATTCTTGGTCATTTGATAACTATATCTTTAACTTTTTGAAGACTGCCACACCCTTTTCAGAGAGGCTGTATCATTTTATATTTCTACTAGCAGTATATGAAGGTTCCACTTTCTCTGCATACTTGCTAGTACTTGTCTCACTTTTAAATTCTGGCCACACTAGTGGGTGTAAAGTAAAATCTCCTCATGGTTTTGATTTGTGTTTTCCTGATGGCTAATGATGTCAAGCATTTTTTTAAAGATTTATTAGCCATTTGTGTATCTTCTTTGGAGAAACGTCTGTTGAGGTCCTTTGCCTGTGTTTTTTTTTCTAAGACAAAAATTGAGATTTATGGTGTTGATTGATAATATGTATAGGAAGGAAAGCAATTTTCTAAGGTTTCATACTATCAAAGAACAGATAACCGTTGTTCAACATTAATGAATATTGTGTGTTATTGTGCGCTATTATTGCTTGTGTTAGAATTCTAGACTAATGTCCACCAGCTGACAGTATAACTCTTTGAAAATGTCAAAGAGAATGAGACCTATCTGAGATAATAGTTTGTGAAATAACGTTCTACGTAAGTGGTTCACAAACTTCAGTGTGGTTAGGGATTTGGTGAAGAATGCCAATTCCTGAGTCCTGCCTCCAGTCATGTTGGTACACTGTGTCTAGAGAGATGCCCATAAACTGGCAATTTTCGCAAGCATCCCAGGTGATTCTGATGCCAGTGGTGTACATATCACACTTAAAAAAAAGTCCTTTATTGGGAGTCAGTTAGTAGCTAGGTCTAACATAAACGTAAAACACGCTTTACATACTCTGATGGTTCTTTGCCCATATTTTATTTAGGCTGTCTTTTTATTATTGAGTTATAAGACTGGTTAATGTATTCTGAATACAAGTCCCTTTTCAGATATGTGAATTGTAAACAGCTTATCTTTTCCGTGGATTGCCTTTTCATTTTCTTGATAGTATCCTTTTTTTTTTTTTTAACCAGAGACTAAATAAGTCATGTTTAATGCTTCTAGCCTGGTAAAATTAAACATCATAATTTATCCATATTTACTTTTTAAAAATTGATTAGAAATGTGTTACATGGAGTACATGTGAGTATTTGTTACATTTATAGAATGTGTAATGATCAAGGTCAGGGTATTTGGGTTATCTATTACCTTGAGTGTTTATCCTTTCTATATGTTGGGAACATTTCAAGTCCTCTCTTCTAGCTATTTTGAAATATCCTCCATCTGCCATGTTGCTAACTATAGCCACCCTTCTCTCCTGTCGAATTTGTTCTATCTAAATGTATGCTTTTACCCACCAATCAATCTCTCTTTATCCCCTTTCCCACCCACACACCCTTCCCAGCATCTGCTATCATTCTATTCTCTATCTAAACAAGATCAACTTTTTTATGTCCCACATGAGTGAGAACATGCACTATCTTCCTGTGCCTGCCTTATTTCACTTAACACAATAAACTCCAATTCCATCATGTTCATATTCAGCTTTAATTTTAAATAACCGTTAAGCAAATTTCCATAATCTGATTTTTGTGTGTTTAAAAATAGACCTGTATCTTCAAATACTAATTTTGAATGGACATATTCATTAGGAATAGGTGTAGATTCTACAGTGGCATAGAAAATTCTGAAGAAAGATATAGACTGACTATGTATAAAATACGTGGTTTTGTTTTGTTTTGTTTTGAGATGGGGTCTCGCTCTTGTTGCCCAGGCTGGAGTGCAATGCACGATCTCGGCTCACTGCAACCTCCGCTGTCTGGGTTCAAGGAATTCTCCTGCTTCAGCCTCCCAAGTTGCTGGGATTACAGGTGCCTGCCATTATGCCTGGCTAATTTTTGTATTTTTAGTAGAGATGGGGGTTCACCATGTTGCCCAGGCTGGTCTCGAACTCCTGACCTCTGGTGATCTGTCCACCTTGGCCTTCCAAAGTGTTGGGATTACAGGTGTGAGCCACCATGCCTGGCCAAAATATGTTTTAAAAAATGAAGCTGAAGAAAGTTTCAACTTACTAGTGGAGGCATCATGCCCTTGTTTGAAGTGGGGATGACAGCTCGAAGATCTTGTTTTCTACTGTTCATTCGGGGATTGCCATCACCTGGTGGAGGGGGAGACTTTGTAGGCATCACTTTGACTTAAGTATTTGCACCAGGAGCTCTCATCAAGTTTGGAGCTTTTGAGTTTACAAATCCGTTCCCCACTGGGCTGCTTCCGGCTCCATTTGGCACTGTGAGGTCTGTTGTGCTCAACATCCCACCTGCATTGTCAGTACTTGGTGGTATCTGAGGAGATCCAGGGGACACGTTTCTATGTAATGTGGTTTGAGGTAGAGAGAGCTTACTTGAATCTGTTAATGTTGAGCTGGCTGCCAAAGATGGGGACACCAGCGAACTCCCTGGGTTAGTGTAGGACAAAGCATTGGGGCTGGTCACTGGAACTGTGCACGTGTGTACCTATGCAACATTCCTGCAATATCTGTACATGTACCCCAGAACTTAAGGTAAAATTACGGTACTTATCTGTGTCAGCCCTCTGTATCTGCAGGTTCTGCATCCTCAGATTCAATCAACCATGGATCAAAAATACTTAGAAAAAAATTAAAAATACAAATAAAAACATGATATAGTCTAATAAATATTACATAGCATTTGCATTGTATTAGGTAATATAAGTAATCTAGAGATGATTTAAAGTATACAAGAGGATGTGCATAGGTTATATGCAAATACCACATCATTTTATATAAGGGACTTGAGGATCCATAGATTTTGATATTTATGGGGGTCCTGAAACCAGTCCTCTGTAGATACTGAAGGATAACTGTATATAGTGGGCAGAGAAAAATAAGGTAGCAAATGGTTTAAATAAAATAAGTCAAAATTATGGATGTGATAAAATTAGCAGATCATTTTGAACACTCCTAAATGATCAAAATTTACTGATGACAGCAGTGAAAATATTTTTATCAAGGACAAGAAAAACAGCTTTCTTTTAAATTACTTATCTTTATATAACTTTGAGATGGCAGAGTTTTCATTTCATAATTTGCAAATGGATAAGACAAAGAGGTCATTTTTCCATGGTCTCAGAGTGAATCAGTCCACTGGATCCACATTAGGATCCACACACAAGTTTTGTTCAGACCAAAAACTATAAACTTCATGAAAACCTGATCAATAACCTAAAAAATGTCTCAAGAACTATGATAATCTATTTTCATTTGTTATTCACTATCCCATAATCATGAAGTTGATTATTATCATTGTCCTCTTAAAAGAATGACTTAGTGGATTAAGGTCTTTTACGGAAAACTGTAGTTCATAGTTTCTGGGTTTAATGCATTTGATTCTGAGCTGAAAAGATAAGCAATTTAGGATGTAAACTATGGTTGAGAAAATAGTTTAGTAGTCATAAAAGCACCAATTACACAGTGCTTATTCATTAAACATTTATTTATGAACTGCTTTTCGTAATGTTCTCTGCTAGTCAAGCTGTAGGATAACAAAAGCTTTTTAAAAGATATACCCTTGCTCAGTGGGATTTTATAATTTGGTATTAAAATGGCAGTGTTACAAATACTTCTAAAAGTTAAAACTTTTCTTACTTTTCTAGGTATCTCCAAAATTCTTCCAAATTTGATTAGTTCTCTTGACTTCTGTTCTTTCAAATTGGAAAACCTGGAGTTTCCTGATACACCTCTTGAAGAATGGCAGGAAATAAAAGAAAAAATTAATGAAATGAAATCACAGTTGGATATATTGTTAAGCACTACTGGTATAGACAAGGATTCTGGTTTGTAAGTTCCCATAGCTTTCTTTTGTTTTGAGAGAATTTTCCTAAAGCTTTATTGCATTATAATTTGTATACCATATAATTCACTTTTTCAAAGTATACAATTCTGTGGTGTTCAATATATTTATAGGTATAGGTAACCATCACCAGTCAATTTTAGAACATTTCATCACCTCAAAAAGAAGCCTTATGCATTTTAGCTATCATTCTGCAATCCTCCATCCTCTCCCACCATCCTATCCACATCCCTGAGTAACCACAAATCTACTTTGTCTTTGGTGATTGTACTGTTCTGGACATTTTATTTGAAAGGAATCATTATACTGTGTGGTCTTTATGGATAACTTCTTTCACTTAGCATAATGTTTTCAAGGTTCATCCATGTTGTGGCATATTTTCAGTATTTCATTTTTATGACTGAATCATATTCTATGTATTAATATGCCACATTTTATTTATTCATTTGTCCATTGATGGACATCTGGACTGTTTCCATCTTTTGCCATTAATGAGTAATGTTGCAATAAACATTCATGTGCATGCTTTTTATGGACAGACATTTGTTTTTGTTTCTCTTGGATATATATTACCTAAAGAGTAGAATTGCTGGATCATATGGCAATTCTATTTTAAATAATTTGAGGAACTGCCAGACTGTCTTCCAAGGTGTTTTTGGAAAATGTACACAATTTTACATTCACATCAACAGTGCATGAAGGTTCTGATTTCTCCACATACTTGCCAATACTTATTTTCTGACTTTTGATTCTAGCTATAATAGTGGGAGTGAAGGGATATTTTATTGTGGTTTTGATTCACATTTCCCTAGTGACGAATGATGTGAAGAATTGTTTCACGTGCTTATTGGCTATTTATATATTTTCTTTGAGGGAAATTTTTTCTTTGCTATTGTTGTTGCTTGTGCTGGTGTCATAGCTAAAAATCCTTTGCCAAGTCCAAGGTCATGAAGATTTAGCCCTATATTTTCTTCTAAAAGTTTTGTAGCATTTGCTCTCTTACATTAAGGTTTCTGATCCATTTTAATTAATTTTTGTATATGGTATGAGGTAAGGGTCCAATTTCATTCTTTTGCATGGGATATCTAGTTATACCAGCACCATTTGTTGAAGACTGTTCTTTTTCCATTTAATGGTATTGACACCTTTGATGAAAATCAGTCATGAATTTATTTCTGAATGATTAGTTCTATCACATTGATCTATATGTCCACCCTTGTGCCAGTAACATACTGTCTTGCTTATTCTTGCTTTGTAGAATGTTTTGAAAATGGGAAATGTGAGTCTTTCTACTTGACTCTTTTACAGAATTATTTTGGCTTTTTTGGCTACCTTGAAGGTCCATATAAATTTTAGAATAAGCTTGTCAGTTTTTATGAAGACTTTAACTGGGATTCTAAAAAAGAATTTGTTGAATCTATACATCAGAATGGGAATATTGCTATCTTAAACATGCTAAGTCTCCTATGTGAACATGGGATGTTTTTCCAATTATTTGGATCTTCTTTCATTTCTTTCTTAGACTCTTTTGAGTAGAAGTTATACACTCCTTTTGTTATATTTACTCCCAAGTACTTGTTTAATGTTATTGCAAATAGGATTTTTAAAACTTTTTTTCAGATTGTTTATTGCATGTTTATAGGAATACAATTGGTTTTAAAATATTGATCTTATATCCCAAAACCTTGGTGAATTCATTTATTAGTTGCAATAATTTTTAAAGGATTTCTTAGTATTTTCTATACAAAAGATTATACTTATAAATAGAAGTAGTTTCTTTTGAATCTAGATGCCTTTGATTTCCTTCTCTTGACTAATTGCTTTGGCTAGAACCTCAATATCATGTTGAATGGAAGATGTTATTCTTATTCTTAGGAAAAATGCATCCAGTCTTTCACTATTGGGTTTTTCCTAGATGTCTTTTATTGGATTTAGGAAGTTTTCTTCTATTTCTAGTTTGTTGCATGCATTTACATAAGAAGTTGTTGGATTTTGACAAATGCTTTTTCTGCCTCTAGTGAGATGATCATGTGATTTTTTTTTTCATGTTGATATTATGTATTACATTAGTTATTTTTTGGATATTAAAAAAACTTTGCTTGCCTAGGACAAATCCCACTTGGCAACTGTGTAAAATACTTTTAATTAGTTCATAATTCTGTTTGCTAGTCTTTGTATTGATATACGTAAGAGACATTGGTCTATTTTCTTTTCCTGTGATGTCTTCACCTGGTGTTGTATCAGTGAAATACTGGCTCTGTGAAATGAGTTGAGAAGTATCCTGTCCACTTTTCTCTTTTGGAAGATTTTTTGAAGAATTGGTGTGATTGATTTTTGGCTCTTTGGGAGGATTCAGTGGTGAAGCCATCTCTGGGTAGGTTTTTGAGAACTGATTCAATCTCTTCACTTGTTAAAAGTCTACTTATATTGTCTGTTTCTTATTGTGTCAGTTTTTTAGTGTGTGTCTTTCTAGAAATTTGACAATTTCATCTAAGTTATCTAATTTGTTGGCAAAATTGCTCATTGTATTCCCTTATAATCCTTTTTATTTCTGAAAGAAGATCAGTACTAACATCCCCTCTCTCATTTCCAATTCTAATATTTTGAGCTTTCTCTATTTCTGCTGGTTAACTTAGCTAAATGTTTGTTAATGTTGATCTTTTCAAATAGCCATCTTTGGATTTCATTGATTTCCTTTAGTGTTTTTCTATTCTCTATTGTATTAATTTCCACTGTAGTTATTAGTATTTCCTTCATTTCACTTTCTTTACATTTAGTTTACTCTGCCTTTTCTATAGTCTTAAGGTGAGCTATTAGGTTATTGATTTGAGATCTTTCTTCTTTTTTAACATAGATTTTACATCTATAAATTTCCTTTTAAGGACTGCTTGATATGTTGTGTCTTTATTTTCATTAATCTCAAAGTATTTTTATGATTTCTCTTGTGATTTATTCATTGACCCATTTATTATTGAGGAGTATGTTAATGTACACATATTTTTGAGTTTCCCATTTTTCCCAGTTGCTGATTTGTAATTTCATTCCATTGTGGTGTGAGTATACATTTTATATCATTCTTGCATTAAAATTATTGAGGTTTGTTTTATGGCCTAGTATCTTGTCTATTCTGAAGAATTTTCCATATACACTTGAGAAGAGTGTGTATTTCGTTGTTATTGGAGAAAGTGTTCTAGAGATGTCTGGTCTAGTTGGTTTATAGTATTGTTAAAGTCTTTTGTTTCCTTATTTATCATCTGTGTAATGGTTCTAACCATTATTCATAGTGGGATATTGAAGTCTCCAATGATTATTCTTAAATTGTCTGTTTTTCCCTTCCTTTCTCCCAGTGTTTGCTTCATATATTTTAGCACTTTGTTATTAGGTGCACATATGTTTATAATTGTTATATATTCTTGATGGAGTGATCCTTTTATAATAATAAAAATATTCTTCCTTATTTTTAGCATTTTAATTTTAAAATCTGTTTTATCTGCTATCAGTACAGCCACACCAGCTTTATTGTGGTTATTTATTTTCCTTTCTCTACTTCCAGTACTCCCTTTATGTGTAAGGTGTCCCATATTTCTTTGAGGCTGTCTTCATGTCTTTTCATTCTTTTTCCTCTTTATTCTTTGGCTTGAATAACATATATTTATCTTCAAGTTCAATTATTCTCTCTTCTTCCAGTTCAGATTTACTGTTGAGCCCAAGTAGTGACTTTTTGAAATTTTTTTCAGTTATTGTTCTTTTTCGCTCTAAAATTTTTATTTATTCCTTTTTTCCAATTTATATTTTTAATTTATATCCTCTATTTACTGCAACATTGTTATAATACCTTCCTTATTTAATCATGGTTTTCATCATTTCTATGAACATGTTTATCATGGGTACTGTGTTAGTTCATTTTCACATTGCTGATAAAGACATACCCAAGACCGGGCAATTTGCAAAAGAAAGAGTTGGGTTTTGTTTTTTTTTTGTTTTTTTTTTTTGGAGACAGAGTTTGCTGTTATGGCCCAGGCTGGAGGGCAATGGCATTATTTCAGCTCACTGTAACCTCTTGCTCCCAGGTTCAAGTGATTCTCCTGCCTCAGCCTCCCAAGTAACTGGGATTATAGGCACGTGCCACCACGGGAAAGTAGCAGTCTGAGGTCCTCTTGGATTGCCTCTTGTGGAGTGGAACCACTGCCTTATAAGCACAGACAATCAGGGACCCATGATTCTCAGCATGTTATGCATAGGGTAGAGTCAGTACTCTATAAATAGGGTCTGGGTGGAAGAAGACAACCCCGGCTTGTCACCTGCATTTACCCAGTACCTAGACTCAACAACAGATAGCTGGAGGCAGTATAAAAATCCATGATGACCTGTTGCTTCTGGGAAGAGAGCCATTTGGTTGGGAGCTAGAGGGTTAGGGAGCTCTGTGTTCTGGGCTACAGCATTCTGAAATAGAGTTGCTGCCTCATTGAGCTAGGAAAAAGAAGGAGAATTCATGGTTCAAATACCATAGATTATTGCCTTTCTTACTGAATCTTCATAGATTTTCTTGAACAGATGTTTCTGGAGCTTCTTCATAGTACCACTTTCAGGGGCTTTAAGTGGTGTATTTAAAAGAATAATTTTTACCAGTTTCACTGGGGTGAGGGGCAGTGGGAAGGGCAGGCTTGCTGCTCACACTATCATGCTGGAATTCATTCATTGAGAGGATCTTAAAATTCTTTCTTCTCACATAGTACTGCCTAGAAGTAAATGTAGAGGGTGTAAGTTTTTACAACAGAGGGCTAATATTTAACATAAGATCTGCTTTGTCCGAAGTGCATCTTGCTACCTTCATGGGGGTTAGAAATGCCTTATCAGTGAGTAAGCTATCATATCAGATTGTTCAGGGCTTTGATTCCCCTTCCTTGAGTTCTCAAGCAGTTGTCAACATCTAAGTTTGCAATGCCCAGCCGAATAAAACTCTTTCTCATAGCTTATAGTTACATTTATCCTTTAAATCAGCTAGTCACTTTTATTTTACTTGATTTTTCCTTCAGGGTACTCCAAGCATATATACTTAACATGATTCAACAATGGCTTTTGAAGATAGGCAATGAAATTAACAACGGTAACATTGAACTTCAGCACCACGTATGTACTTGTAAGGATTTTTGAGGTTATATTGTACCTCAGCTGGAAAATTTCTTCAAGGAAAATCAAGCTGTCTCAATTTAAACAGGGCAGGAGGTTGAGAGGACAAAATAGAAGCTTCTATAATAATTTCTCAGATAATTCT